AGCTGTCAGCACAGAGCCCGATGTGAGGCTCGATCCCACAAAGTAGGAGATCATGACCTGAGCTGAAGTCGGATGCTTAACCGACTGAGCCACCCAGGTGCCCCCTTTGTCAGCTGTTTTAAGTGAAAGTGGACCAACCTGGTTATGAGAATCAGTTGTACTTTGGGTTGTTACAAAAGATGAGCTGAGAAAGCATTCAACCTTCTAGTTCCGGAGTCGACAAACTACTGCTCATGTCTAAATAAAGCCTGCCACCTGTTTTAGTAAATAAAGTTTTATTGGAACGTAGCAATGTCATTCACATACATATGGTCTGGCTGCTTTCATGCATAGTTGAGTAGTTCTGACAGAACATATGGCCCACAAAACCTCAGATATCTGATCTTTCACGAAAAAGGTAGCTGACACCTGCTCTAGTTTTTATGGCCTCTTTGCCCTTCTGCTTACGAGGCCAGTTTTCTGTCTCTGTAGATTATGAAGTGCACATAATATGCTTCTGTTAAGGAGTCTCTATTTTCTCTTTTTTTTCCGATAGAATCTGAGCTCCTCTGAGTATATCCTGTAGGAAACAGGTCGACTTAAAATGGGTTCTGTATTTCCCAAAGTGAGCATTTTAAGAGTAGAGTTTTCTGGTGTTTCTAGAATGAAAGCCACAATGAGTTATTCCACTAAAGAAAGGATTCTCCCTGCACACTTTTCAGATTTCAAGAGCAAAATCTCAACTTTGTTCCTAGGAGAGAGATTGCATTTGGTACTATATTTTAAAGGGAAAAAAAAAACCCAAAATGGCAAGGAATAAATAGACTTTCACAAGATTGCTTAATTGCTGAAAAACACTTTTCCCCTCCCTCCTTCATTGAGCAATGAAAACAGCCCGAAAAGATTTTTAATGTTAGAGCCACAGTTCCCCCAGTTAGTATCTTTATGGGAAACAAAGCTCTGATGAGAAGCATGTAGGATTAGAATTTCTTGACAAGGAGACAAGTTTTTTCTCTTTCTGCATTCCCACATAAAATTTATAGTTCACATTTTCTGAAAATTGAGTCATTGACTAACTTTCTGCTAGAAAAGACAGTAACTGTGAGTACCTACAAAGAATTCGATGAAACCGTTTATAAAGTAATTTGATAATCCTTTTCCTGTGTTGTAGTAATCCTTAAGCCCTAAGGATGGAAGTCTCAAATTTTGTTTTGAAAATTTATTTTTAGCATTTTTTAGAGGTGAGATAATGTTTCAATATGAAGAAAGCAGTGTTACTCAGGTACGTTTTAAAGATTTTTTTTTTATTGCTAACTTAAAAAGCAAGTGTCTGTGCATTTAAAGATTTGTTTAAGGTACAGTTTATTTATGGTATTTGGCATATTTATTTTTATGACCAAAATTAAATAAAATATGTGTTGTTGAATCACTAGCTTTGTCAAGAGGGTTTGACTTCATAATAATCATGGTATTTTTTTTAATAATCGTATTTTGGTTTTCACTAGACTTGCTGAATGTTGATATGATGGAATTCTATTGCCTTTTAAATTTTAAAATTATATTAGAAACTTCTAGCAATAAGAAATGGATTGGGTCTAAGAACAGTCTTCTGATTCTGATCCCGTTCCACCCCATGGGGGATTTGGATGCATATACTTCCCATAACCTAGATTGGTTCAGAGGAGCCCAGCTAAATGTAGATTGTTCATTCAGTGAATATTTCCTGAGCACCTACTATGTGCCAGGCAATGACCTACGTGCTACAAATGGGGTGATGGCTGCTACTAAGTTTCCCTTTTCACATTGGGATCTTTCACTTAACTCTGGGACCTTTCCTGTGGAGAGCTTTACTAGTGTTCTTTTGGGGGAACCCTTGGAATAACGAAATTAATTAACACATTAGACTTGCTGATTCAGAATATTTTTAAAGGAGATACAGAAACAAAAACTAGCTTAGTCAATATGGATTTGATTGTTCGCTAGGTAATACTCCAAGCAGTTAGCATTCAGTCTTTGGGGTGTAGTTCTTTGGGTGGCCAACGAAACTGGAGAACAACTTCTTGTTAGAGAGTGTAAAAAAACACAACGGTATTTGTTATATTCTTAATGATTTTATGCTTCTACAGAATCAAAATCTGGCTAATGGCACCTTATCTGGAGTCCTGTCTCTAAGTGAACTCAAGTGAGTAATCTGCTGCTTGATTGAAAAGTTAAGACACCAACGATGGAAAGATACTTGTTGAGCTACCTTTACTTTTGGAAACCGAGAATAGGAAATAGACCCGAAGGTTATAAAGAATTGGTTCTTGAGTTCTTAGCAAATTAGCATTGGTAGTCACTGGCCGTCACCTAATATCCTTATGAGGCTGTTCTCTTTGATGATCTGAAAGTATGTAAGAGCTCCATTTGAATTGGTATTTGAGTTTTAATACGATTTGGTAGCCAGAAAGGTGGAAAGAGTTCAAGGTAGGATGGCAGGTATACCGTTTGTTCATGCTTTCGGGAAACATCAGTCATTCAAAAGTCAGAGAGAGCTCTTTGTTAGGTAGATAGCAGCTTATAAGGACAAGCACAGACAATGAGAAATACATTACACATGGATGCTCCCCGTTAGACAAAAGGTCAAAATGTCAGGCCCAGAGACAGTCTTACCTGACTGTCACTGGGAGGGGAAACGTCATGTGTTCACCCTCGTGCAGGGAAACAGCATTAGAGACAAAATTCGTCTTCTCTCAACCTTGCTGCTACCTCTCAAATGAGGTTTTCATAAACTTTTGAAACAAACCCAAAGCTCTGGGGACTATCTGGGACGACCCTGAAGGAAAAAACCTCTCCGAGGTCAAAACAAAAGGAAACAAAGGTCCTCTTAAGGGTCTTCCTTTCAGTTAGCATTTTGACCTGGCTGCTTTTGATGATTCAGCGATGCCTAGGTGGAGAGGAGGCCCAGAGCCTACCTGGTGGATATCAAACGTCTCTAGGGCTCTACTGAGTTTATAGTGGCAAACAGTTAAAGTGGGATGGGCAGAGGTGATATTCCTGTCCTTTATGCCTATTTTTTTTTTTTTACCTCCTGAGAAAAATCTAACTTTCCTAGCTATTCAAAGTATAGTATATATGTGAAATAAAAAGCAGAAGATATCAATGCCCTTGAAGTATCTTAAAGTTGAGATGAGAAACAATAGTGATAAGACATTTTTTTAAACTCACAAATTCATAAATAGAACACAGCTTTGCATACTTGTAATACAGCTTAATTACTAGACTTGAAATATCGAGTTCATTTAAAGCCATGAAGCATTTGTTGAGCACCTACTATGTGTTTGGCCTTGGGGATAAACCCAACTCTGATGATGGAAAACTGGTTCTAGAACAGTGGTTCTCTACCTTGGCTGCATATTAAAATCACCTGGGGAGCTTTCAAAAAATTCTGATGCCCAGGCACACCCTATAACAATTAAATCTGTATTTGGGGGCTGAGACGCAGACACTGGTATTTTTGAATGCTCCCTTGGTGGTTCCAGCATGAGGCCAATTTTTAGAACCAGAAATCTGGAGTCTGGTAGGATAGACCTAGGATGCAAACAAGTAACGGTATGGTACAATCACTACAATGAACGTGACCTGTCCAGGGTACCAAAGGATGTTCTAAGTATCTAAGTTGTCCCGACTTCCCGTGAAGCTCTCCCACACTGAAGAAATAAAAGTGTTGTTGAGTGGGATGGCAGGAGAGGAAAGAGGGAAATTCTGGAGAGGAGGGGAAGGGGGTGCTGGAGAGTGCTAGAGGGCAGGTGGGGGCAGGTGGAGAGGGAACAAGGAAGAAATGAGGGAAGAAATGAGAGGTGCAAATGAGAGGTGCGGTTGCAGGGGCCCATGGTGAGTGGTGGACCCTTTTCAGAAATTTGCCCTCGGGCCAGTTCTTTCTCTGGCCCTCTGCCAGAAGAAGCTGCCTGGGGGTTGCAGCAGCCTAATGAGTAACAAGATTGTTCAACCGTAATTTATATCTTGCTGTTGGCTAGAACTTCTACGGCTTCTGTCTGGTCAGTTTCCCTTGTCATAGAAATAATTTATTTTTCTCACATAGGAATCTCATTATACCCAGTGTTACTTCAAAGTGAACACTGCAGGCAATAAATACCATAGGCTTAATTTAATTGCTAACAATCTAACTTGTTTTGAATTTCACATCACCAGTGATCTCCTTCATGTCATTTTCTCTCGTTTTATTCACAGGCGATCAGAGCTAAACAAAACCCTGCAAACCTTAAGTGAGGTAATCACTGTACATCCTATACCTTGTTTGTAATTACTGTTCTATTTGGGGGAAAGCATGGATCTCTGCGTTCCTGAGGAAAAATGTATTCAAACTTCCCCCCAAATCTGTCATGTGAAAAACACTAAGTAGACTAGTTCTGTTACTCCGGAAATCAGAACTGGGCACAATGGATAGTTGTTACAAGGAGGTAGATTTTCCTTCATGTAAAGCCAAAAGTTTCTTAAAATGAGGGCTCCAGAATGAGCTCCCTTGTGTGGTAGTGAGTTCTCTGGACAGTAGAAGTATGCAAGTAGAGCCTTTATGCCCTGAATAGCTTTGATGATGCGTCAGGAATCTGATAGGAATGTGAACTGGATGATCCTTGGGGGTTATTGTGGTTCTAAGATTCTGTGATGCTGTGATTAGTCCTGGGTTGTTTTGTCTGACATTCTCAACTGTCAAAGTAATATGTGTGTGTGTGTGTGTGTGTGTGTGTGTATGTTGTTTGTTTGTTTCAGACTTATTTTATAGTGTGTGCTACAGCAGAGGCCCAAAGGTGAGTCATTTTTAATATTTTTATACATATTGTTTCTCTACTCATGAGAAATAAAGTATTGAGGAGTCTCAGGTTGCAAATTTACGTGTGTTCCTCTAAAATAAATACATATTAATGACATTTTGGATATATGTTTTTATTCTTTGAAACACTCACTATTCTGTCACATCCATCTTCTCATTTCATTATGAATCACAGAGGGATGAGTGGTATTGGGCCATTGCCTCCGGTTCTGTGACGCTGAGCATCATCAGTGTCCTTAGCCCCAAGGGCCACCACTATAACCAAGAAATGTCTCCCAGTGGTCCAGTCTAGTGATAGGCCAGACAGAGAAGAAGGAACATAATATGGTGCTTGGGAGAAGAAGGAGAGAGGGAAGGAAAAGATGGGAAAGGAAGAGAAAAGAAATTAAAAGGTGTGTGCAGGGATGAATATGAGATTGCCTGACAATTATTTGATGTTGCACAGATGATCATTTTAAATTGTGTCCATTGGCTGTGTTGGCTGCATAGGCGAATGGCTTATGTAGGTCAGTAACCTCGCCACCTGAATCCCGAGCATTCTGTGAGAGTAAAAGTCCTAGAAAATGACGGTTTCTGCTCATCACGGTATTCACTGGTACAAATAATGGCAATTCTTCCATGAAATTCTGGATTGAATCCCTATCCGCTATATATACTTAGTTCATGTCACTCACTACTTTTTTATTATTTGCAACATTAACATTTTTTCACGTAAACCAAGACTGAAGTAAAAAAAAAAAAAGCGATAATGTCTTAAATTGCTAGTTATCTGATCATCTAGATTGAATTGCCAGAGATTTCTGGATTTAAGAGACCTTGATGTTCGTCTGGGCTGGTATGTGAAAGGGCTCCCATGATAGAAATTCAAATGTCTACAGATACTAGGCAAGTAGCCAGCTGGGGTTAAGGCTAGATGTTAAGATGCTTGTCTTTGCCAGTTCATGGTTACGACGGGCAGAATGAATCAGCAGCTGTGTGCGGTCAGAAGGTCTCTGGTTTGCAACCTCTGTGAATGGAAACCTGTATAAATGGCTCATGGTAGAAGGCCATGGGTCTTCACAAGCTTATTGGGCTGATGTTGCAACTTAGCAGCATCAGTGCCTCCTTTTCTCACTCCCAAGTTTGAAAAAACATTTACAAATACGTAGGTCGGTTTCCAGTTTAGTAACATTCTGGTTATATAAATATATTTCTCTTTACAGCACATTAAATTGTACATTCACAATAAAAATGAATAAAACAATGAACATATGTGCTGTAATGGTCGCTTTGAAAAGAGTAAAGATTCGACCGATGGGTAAGTTCTCTCTCTCTGTCTTTATTGCCGTGTTTGTTTTCATATGACTCTAATGTGTTCTGTGTAAAACTGAAAGTGTAATCGATAAATTTAAACATGAGTCTTGGGCAGTATTTAGAGAGCTCTAAAAGGTGGTTTTTCTTGCTTTTTCAATAGAGTTTCAGTATACCTTATTTGAAAACATGGTAGAACAAACCCTACTGAGAGAAGGGGATTGACTTCTCTTTGGAGTGTTTGGCCGATTGCTGCCGGGATGGATTTACTTCTGAATTCTTAGAAGTTGCTGAAGAGCAACTGATAATTGCAGATGTATAACCACCCCTGAATTATTCACTCAATAAATATTTCGAGCACCGAGTATGAATGTATAATTGTCGATATAATGGTATCTCGTTTATTTTATCATGTTTTAGACAAATGCTCTTTAAAATGTAGTCGGTGTAGGAATCCTAATCCTTGATGGATCTGAGCTTCTGTCTTGTCTTATCCTTGACCGTGTATTTTCTTCTTTCTTTTCTGTTGCCTCCTCCAGAACAGTGCTGCTGTTCTGTCAGGATACCCTGCCCTTCCTCCCCGGAAGAGTTAGAAAAGCTGCAATGGTATGTAGCAAATATGCTGACCCTTTTCCTAAAAGTGATAATAATCATCATAATAATAACAACAACAACAATATTTAATCACCATGCTGGCCAAGGAATTTTGGAATATCGATAGTGAAGAAGGGCTTTCAGTTTTAGGCAAAATGCATTATTCTCTTGTATCAAGTTTCCGTTTGGACCATTACCTTGAAACAATGGTTTGCAGTCTTGGTTGCAAGTTAAAATCACCTAGGGAGTATTACAAATATTCTGACATACCCCCCCCCCACGCAAATCTCACCAACTGAATGTCCTCATATTTTTAAATTTCTCTGGTGTGGTAGTTGAGAAAGGGTATCTCATTGTTATTTTTAATTGGCGCTTCTCTTATGAGGACCGTTTGAACGTTTTTCATGTATTTGGGGGTCATTTTTGTATCTTTCTTGTTAATTGTGTGTTTATGTCTTTTCCCACTTTTTCTAGTGGATATTTGATCACCTTTTAAGAGTCCTTTGTAAACTAGGGACATTAATACCCTTTGTGGTACATGTTGCAAATATTTACTTCTAGTTTGTCAGTTATCTTTCGACTTTATGTTTTTGTCACGTCAGTTAAATTTTTTAAAAATGTAGCTAAATTTACTAGTCTTTTCTTTTATTGCCTGTGGATTTGGAGTCTTAGTTAGAAAGCCTTTCTCTATGCCCAGGTTATGGGCGAATTCACCCTTGAAGTTTTCTACTATTTATATGGTTTCATTTTTTTTTTTTTTTCATTAAATCCACTTGGAGTTTATTCTTGTGTGTGGTGTGAAGTACGGGTCTAATTTAATCTTTTCCAAACTGTTTAGCCAGTGATCCTGTGCCATTTATTAAAAAGTCTTTTTCTCAGTGACTTGAGATGCCATCTGTGTCACATGCTAAATGTTCATAGCTATTCAGTCCCAATTCCAGACATTAGATGTTAACATTGGGGGAAGCCGGGTTAGGGGGATACACAACTGTGTTATTTTTGCAATTTTTCCATACGCCTAAAATTAATTCCATTAAAATTTTTTTTGAAAATCTTTTATTTCCAGTCTCCTACCCTTAGCGATTCGGATTTAATTGGTCTGGGACACAGCCTAGGCATTAAGGTTTTTAAAAGCCCTCTTGGTCATTCTAATGTGCAACCAATGTTGAGAACCACTGCCCTAAATTCACCACATCAGTGGAGGGAAACTGAGAGTCAGATGCTCCAAAGTAGCAGGTGACCCCAAAGTTATGGACGACGTGATCACAGGTGTATAAAAATATACGTAGGAAAAGCTAGGGAGTGAATGAATGAAAATACTCACAGGGGTTCCCAGTGATTGGCCTGCCTACTGTCAGTACAGGCAGTATTTTGTTTACTTTTCCTTTTTTTCTTTGCAGCATTTTCTATGCTTTATTACAATCAGGTAAAATTTGTATTTGAACAAAAGGACATACGTTTTTCAACGTAAACTTCTTAAATGGGGACAGAAGGCTAACTGTAGCTTTCTGCCCTGTGTGAGCCATATTCCTGGGATATATTAAACATTGGACCTCAAGGAATAGCTGAAGGACTTCAGAATTCATAGCATTTTCCGTAGTAAAAAGTAAACAGCATTTAAGTTTTAGGCTTAGCATGCCCCATTAAGCTGGAGGGTTGAGGCCCATTTGGGAATGGAATTTCTAGAAGCATTAGATCAGATGAAGATACCATAGCTCTTTTGAGGCAGCCCCACAGACCTCTGATGGCTGCTATTCAAAGAGCTGTTAGGAAAAAGAAGCAGGACACAGAAAAGCGGGCAAAGGATGAACTCAGTGTCTGGCTAGGGCTCTGTCATCAACGAGCTGTGTGTCCGGCTGTTGCTTCTTTATAAACAGAAATAAGTCTCGGGTTCCTCCTTTGTAAAATGAGGAAGTAAGTCCTATCAGCCCTTCCCAAAGGTTACTGTGCATACGGTCCCAGAGAGCCTTGTTAAGATTTCGATCCACCAGGTCTGGGAAAGGCCTGAGATTCTGTATTTCTGGTGCTGTTCCCAGGTGAAGCCAGTGCTGCCGGTTCATGATGTCATTGGTCTGGGGTGTAGCCCAGGCTTCTGTATTTCTCAGAATTTCTGGGTGGGGTGACTCTAACGTGTAGCCAAACGTGAGAACCACTAGGCTAGAATTAGGTGATGGCTCAGGGTCTTTCCGATACATTGGTTCTTAAGGTTGGCTGCGTATTGCAAACACCTTGGGCCCTTTAAATCCTACTGATGTGTCAAAGTGGTCTTCTTGGGTGCCGGAAATACTCTGTGTTGATCTGGGCGGTGATGATACAGGTGTATACGTATATCAAAATTCTTCAAGTTCTAAATGTAAGATTAGTACACTCTACTGTACGTAGGCTACACCTCAGTGAAGAAGCATATTAAAACAAATATGGGGGCGCCTGGGTGGCGCAGTCGGTTAAGCGTCCGACTTCAGCCGAGTCACGATCTCGCGGTCGAGGATCGCCGAGCCCGGCAGCGTCCCCAGACTCTGGGCTGACCAGAGCCTGGAGCCTTATTTCGATTCTGTGTCTCCCTCTCTCTCTGCTCCTCCCCCGTTCATGCTCTGTCTCTCTCTGTCCCAAAAATAAATAAACGTTGAAAAAATAAATAAATAAAAATAAAAAATAAAAAAAAACAAATATGGATACCAGTACCCACCCCAGAGATTCCAGTTCAGTTGGTCTGGGGCAGGAGCCCCAGCACTGGTACTGAAGTGCTCTGACGTTTCTAATACATAGTTGGCTTTGCCCACCACTGTCCTGCCACTCCCCGTGCGCCTCTGCCAACGGACGGAGGGCTCCGAATAGCAGGAGTGCGGGCAGAATTAGATAGAGGGTAGCCTCTTCGTAGTGGAGCCCCGTGAATGGGAACCCTCGTGCTTGGGGGTTTGGCTGCCGCAGACCCCCCGATGTAAAAAGGAAATTTAATTTATACTTCGTAAAGCACCTTTGCCATGACTTGGCCCCGTGAGTTGCTGGAGTATACAATTCAGAGAACAGAGTCTCAGAGAAGTCGGGTGGATTGCCTACAAGAGGAATGAGAGCTGGAGCCTCAGCCAGGGCTTCTCGACGCGTCACCTTTCTGACTGTCTGGCACCCCTTTGTTCACACTGCCATCCTGAACGTCAGGCTGTGTAGAGAGGCCTCCGCCGGGTGTCTGGCCAGACTGGACCGAGCCGACATTTCTCTTTATGGGTGTCACTTGCCTCGGGTTCCTCAACCTAATATTCCTTCTTCCTCTCGCCCAAGAGAGGCTCTAAGAACATCTTCTAGTTGGTGCTCTTAAGTCATCAGCTAAAACTGGATCCATCAGAGGCTTCCCTAGGTGATAGTTTGTTGCCCCCTCTGGTTGTTCTTCCTCCCACCCCAGGACTGGTGGATGTTGATAGCAGACGAGTTCTTCTCAAGCTTCCATGCCATGAAAATATATGGGCCTGGGATCCTCACCCCTGCGCCAAGACCAACTAAAACACACACTGAGGTATAGGCCACAGAAATCTCTGTATTTTTTAAAAGTCTTCAGGGTTATTCTCACGTACAGCCTAGGTTGAAAACTGCTGGGCTAAAGCAACATTGAGGGCGTAGCTGATTTACAGGCTGGGGACCCCTGTGGCCTCAGCTTCATTCATTTTCTTCCTTCAGCAAACGTTTCCTGCTCACTACCTGTGTGCCCCTTAGCATCATGCCAGGCTATAGCAGTAGAAAATCGATTCAGACAGATTCCTATGTTCATCGGTTTCACAGAAGTTTATGTGTCATTAACCTCACTTCAAGATTTTCTTGAAACAAAATTCAGTAAATCGAAGACAAAAAATGGCAGTGTGGTTTACCTATCCCAGCCAATACCACGCTGCGTATGAGTGAGGTAAATTTGAGGTTTCTGGGAAAGGAAAGGCTCACTTGTGGCTCACTAAGACTAGTATGAGAATTTGCTGAAATAAGTTCCATGGTCCAAATCAATAATAATGATTTCCACATTTTTCTAATAATGGATCAACACCCGGAAGATTGTAATTGTAATTGACCGAATTATGTACTTCACAAAAACTACAGGGAAAACTTGAAGAACATTTTCTTGGTATTGATAAATTTAGAGCTGCTTTTCTTTCTTTTTTTTTTTTAGAGCTGCTTTTCAATTTATGCCATGCCCTTTTGTACCGCATGTTGATACTGAGTTGACACAAGAGTGTGAATTTGTTATGGACGTAGTTTTGAAATGGACGTGCTTTAGCTTCAAAGTCAAATCAATTGTTCTACAAATGATGAGCCAGTTTTGTCAATGTGGATTTGAATACTAAAGGAAAATGATATTTTGGCATTTAAGTTTTTAGAAAACCTTTCAGTACGTTAGGAACAGCTTGGGCATGTGATTCTACTTTTTTGAGAACACGTTTTTGTAAAATCTAAAAAAACAGTAAGAGACAGATTCCTAATATATGAAAACCACAGTTGGGTAAAGGCATTTAACCGCTCCCCTCCCCCAGGAGCACATAGAAGTGTTATAAGATCCCCTCAACTGAATGATAGGGGATAAGGTGCAAGAGCCCGAGAGGAGGGGTGATTGAGTGAACCAGAACTGGGAATTCATAAAAGAGCATCCCTCCTGGCTAACTCCTCTCCCAGGGAGGAAGTGGTAGAAGGGGGCAGGGGCAGGGGGCAGTGGCAAGGGCACAGAAGGTGTGCAGGGGCGGAGGCTGGGAGTGGCAGGTCCCCGATGGAGCCAGGTCGCCTTGGTGGTGTCGGATGATTGCCAGAGGAAACGAGCCTCTCTCTAACTCATTCGGGTCTCACGTGCATCTCTCTGATTCTTTCCTTTAGTGACCCGCAGGATCCTGTTGTATGTCTTGCTGGTCATCCAGATGGCCCACCGATTTCTTCTTCTAGCGGTTCCACCCCAGCTGCTCCTCAGGCCACCATTCTGGCCCAGGTCTCCGGTGCCTTCTCTTCTGCTGAACCTCTCAGCCGTCCACCTGTAACCCAGAACCCTGCCTCTCCAACACGAGCGATTCACCTTCCTTCTCCCCAGCCGACAGCTCTCATTGCTTCCAGCCCTACCATGGATACGCCCCCCAAATCTGGAACTGTCTCTTCCCCTCTGCCCCAGACTGATCTTTCCCACACCCTGCCACCCGTGAAATCCTCACTTTCCTCCCCCACCACGTCTGTCCCTGTGAATGTCATCACGACCAACACACCTCCTGACGAGACAGGTAAATATGAGGATCCAAGCTGCTGCTACGTGTGTTACAATCTGGCAGATGCCAGCCTGCCAAACCAAGGTGTCTGTAGTAAGACCACGTTGGACCTTTCTTTTTACGATGTCTGCTTGATATCGAGAGCTTTCCTGCAGGCTTTCATAGAACATAGAAATAGCCCTGAGGCGAATAGATCTTAGCATATTCTACCGAGATGACTTATTTTACAGGTTTCTTTCTCCTACAAAAGGTTGGTAGCTCACTGTTTTCAACATTGCGAAGAGAAAACTTTTGAACTATTAAATTCAGTAATTGCACTTAGAAAGAAAAACTTTGCAGCCCTGAAAGTCAGTCACAGAGCGACAGATGTGGGTCTGCAGGGGCCCTCACAGGCAGCGCGATCTGGGATAGGCCGCTTAGCTCCTCCTGACCCAGCCTGGGGGACTTAAAGACGGAAATAACCACACTAGCTGCACTAGGTTTAGAATGGTGGTTCACATGAGGATGCCATGGAAACTGCAGAGGGCTCCCCATACACAAAGTCGGCTCACGGGTAAAGAGATAAAGGCAAGAGCGAAAGACGCCAGAGAGAACTCTGGATGCTCTGAAGGTTCAATTCAGTGAGTCAGAATCAGACTGTCCTCGGATTTTCAGCGAGTAGGAGGCAAAACCAAGTTCTCGGTGACGAGATTGGAGTGGAGGTTGTGGTCTCCGCCTCCTCCCCCACAGCGCGAGCGTCCCCGGGAGACTGGAAGCTTCTGCCAGTTCTGCCAAGGGACTTGCTGTTTCTTTGAATTTGCACTGCTCTCTCAATTTGTTTTTATAAATATGGGCATTTTAGGCCAAATTATAAAATCATTGGGGCTTCAGTAAACTAGTTAGCCTGGGCCTAAAAATGCCCACCTTTGCAAAGCTATCCCCGGTGACCATCAGAATCCCACCTGACCATTTCCCCGGGAAGGCCAGCAACGTGGCCTGCTGTGCCTGTGCTTCTGTGGGCAGGGCTGGGATTTCAGCCAGTGACGCAACAGAAGCCAAGTGACATACATATGAAAGATGTGTTGGGGAATTACTCGGTAGCTAAAAAGTAGACATAACTTGACAGTCCCACAAGAGAGGAGTAATGAAATACGCTAAGTCGATAAGTCACCTGAGCTCACCGACTGCAGCTGCGCATAAGAACAGCTTGATGGAAACCTGGGGGCATTTTCCAGGCCTGGAATGAAGTGAAAAGAACACAACAAGGAAGAGTTGGTACACTATGTTTATAAGAGTATGTTACGACACCTGGATGGAGATAAGAAGGGAATCTGCAAAATAAGAAATAGGATGTTAGGTGATGGAATTAAGAGACTTTTTCGTTGCCAGACAGGTTTGTATCATTCCCCAATTAAAAAGCACTATTAAAAACCAACTTACAGCTGGTCGTCCAGCTACTGATTTCGTAATAGTCTCTTTTTCGTAAAAAGAGCTTCTAGTTATCCATGTAAAATCCGGTACGCATGATAGAAATTAAAAACAAGTATATTTATACTTTTACAAATATACACTAAATACACTGATGTGCTTTTACATTTTGTTCAGTTAGGTTTTGTTTTTTTTTTTTTTTAAAGACTTTATTTTTAAGTAGTCTCTACATCCAGTGTGGGGCTCGAACTCACAAACCTCCAAATCAAGAGTCACGTGCTCCACCGACTGAACCGGCCAGGCACCCCAGTTAGGTTTCTTGAAGTATAATTTACATACAGTAAAACTCATCCAGATCTATGGATAGATGAAATTTTTATAGTTCCATGAGGTTGGATTAAGCACCCAACAGCCACACGACCACCAAAGTTCCCTCGTGTTCCTTTATAGTCCACTCCTGTCCACTACCCCCAGCCCCTGGCCACCACCAATCGGTTTTGTTTTTCCTGTACTTTGGATTTTTCTAAAATGTCATATGAAGAGACTCATACAATATGTAGCCTTTTGAGTCCGGCTTCTTTCAGTTAACATAATACATTGGAGAACTGGAGATCCATCCATGTTGTTGCAAGTAGCTCCTGCCTTTTAATTACTGAATAATTGTCCATTATATAGATGGATCACGGTTTATCCATTCTTCAGTTGATAGACATTTGAGCTTCCAGTTTGGGACTGTTATGAAAAAGGTCCCTGTAAAAATTCACGGACAAGTCTTCTTAAGATACGTTTACATTTCCCTGGGGCAAATACCTAGGCGTACGTTTGCCAGGACATAGAGTCTATGTGTGTTTCTTAGTGATTTTTTCCATTATGTGTTCATAAAATGATTTGGCTCTCTGTTACAGAAATTGTTTACACCAGCAGCAGCAGCAGTGATTCTGATCTTGAGAACCAAGTGTCCCAGATGGAGAAGGCTCTGTCCTTGGGCAGCTTGGAGCCTAACCTCGCGGGAGAAATGATAAACCATGTCAGCAAACTCCTTCATTCCCCACCTGCCTTGCTGGCTCCTCTGGCCCAAAGGTATGACTTCGCAAACTGATGTGGTCATAGAGGAGACCCTCTAACTGTAAGAATACTTCTTATCAGGATTAATTATAGCCAAGTATTTTTCTCCCACATAAGAGGTTCATAATGACTCGTTAAATTGTTACTGCATATTCTGCTTAGAATGGGGAAGACAAAGTGGGAGTGCTGAATTTGAACTACCACTTATCTTTGCAGATTGCTAAAAATAGTGGATGACATTGGCTTACAGCTGAATTTTTCAACCAAGACCATAACTCTAACCTCCCCTTCTTTGGCTCTGGCCGTGATCAGAGTGAATGCTAGTAATTTCGACACAACTACCTTTGCTGCCCAAGACCCTGCAAATCTTCAGGTACATCCTAATCAGTTGTGGAAAAAACCTTTTCTTGTATATAACTGTAGTCTCCATGACGGAGGCAATTACTGCTTACAGTCAGGGGCGATACTCAAAGTATTTAATATCTAGAACAATGAAGTACCACAGGACCAGAAAAAGGACGTTGGTCTTGGCTGGAGCAGGATCTCAGAGGTCTTTGTGCCCGGTGTCAACCCTTTAGCAGGTAGACTGTGGAAGTTTTGCAGGGGGGTAGTGTTGCTCAGGTGGGGAGAGGTGTCCAGTGGCGAGAGAGCAGGGACATCGACTACATATCAACCCATTTCAATATTTTAACAAGTGTTTCGATGGCACTGGTCTCAGTAGTGGTGCTGAGTATCATTCCTGCTCCTAGCGTTTTCCAGCCACCTATTATAGGGATTAGGGGCTGGAAACACCCAAGAAAAACCAAGTCTTGCCTTTTAACTTAATTTTTATAGTCTTCCCTTTGCAAGTTTAGTGCGTGTGGTTCTATGAAGACTTGACCCTAACAGATGGCCAAGTTGGTGTGTCTGCAGTTACCGTGCACTTTTTCCGCCCAGTTCTGTTGACATGTACATGTTATGTAATGTTGACATTATGTAATTGACATGTAATATCCTACACTTTCTGACCATTTCTGTGTATCCTTAAATTGTTTCCTTTCCTGCTCTGAGGCCTCATCGCCCAACTACACATCCTCTCCAATTTCAGAGCAGTCACAGACACAAGAACAACCGATTTTACAGAGGCACCACAAATAAATGCCTTTACGGGATCCTCCAGCTTAGTTCTCGCGTCTTCCACCTCTTCGCGTTTTCCACCTCTTCGTTATACTAGCCCCAGGCATTTTTGGTATCCTTTACTTGATTTTCAGGTTTCTCTGGAACCTCAGGCTCCTGAGAACAGTATTGGCATTATTACTCTGCCTTCATCACTGATGAGTAATTTACCAGCTCATGATGTGGAGCTGGCTTCCAGGGTTCAGTTCAACTTCTTTGAAACGCCTGCCCTGTTTCAGGTAAAGTTCATGCTAACTGCTTTTGGTTTAGGTTTTATCTTGGAGTGCAGCAGTTTCGTTTCTTTTAATTCTCACATATTCTTAAATCTGCTATCAGTCAAACGAACTACTGAAAGCTGCAGTTTATTTTTAAACAGGACCCAGCGATATTGGTAATGATGAGTAACAATAACTGGCACTTCTATTAAATTATTATCCCAATTTTACAGATGAGGACATGGAAACGCAGAGAGGTTTAACTTGCTCAAGAACACACAGTTTAAGTGGCTTAATGTTATATTCCCTATACAATTCACGAGGGCCCCTTTGTGTCAGTTTGTGAAACTTAACTCAGTATTTAGAGTACTGTAGAGTGGAACAAGCTGTTTCTTTTTCTTTTTCTTTCTTTTTTTTTTTTTTTTTTGTTAAGTTTATTTATTTTGAGAGAGCGTGCGCATGCACATACAAGCAGGGGAGGGGCAGAGAGCAAGGGAGAGAGAGGGAATCCCAAGCAGCCTCCGCACTGTCAGCACAGAGCCCGACGTAGGGCTCAATCCCACGAACCATGAGATCGTGACCTGAGTTGAAACCAAGAGCCGGACGCTTAATCGACCGAGCCATCCAGGCGCCCCAGACAAGCTCTTTCTAAAGTCACATTACTTGGTGACCCTCAATTTCTCACCTAGATTGTAAAATAAACCACGTGGATTAAGTGGGCTGTAGGGTCTCTTCCAGCTCTAAAATTCTCTGATGACATTTCATTTTTACCCTTGCCATCTTGTCGATTCTTTGGTGTGCTAGGACCCTGCCCTGGAGAACCTTTCTCTGATCAGCTACGTCATATCATCCAGTGTTGCAAACCTGACGGTCAACAACTTGACAAGAAATGTGACGGTCACATTAAAGCACATCAATCCAAGCCAGGTGGGAGAGGCCCGTCTGGTCTGTTCATTGACCAAATACACTTGTGCAAACCGTGTCCGTGAGTTGGCCAGAAAAAAGGAGATCCAGCAGAACCTCAAACTCGGTCAAGGCAGTGTGTAAGACTAGAATCACGTGGTCACTCTGTCGGGTCTTAGCATGCCTGATAACTGGCCACCTAATTTCCAAGAAGGAGCAGTGGCAAAAGCCAGCTATTATCAATTACCTAATTTTAGTGCATTTAGATCTGTGGCTACAGGTCTGATTCTCACCTCCAAAGAGAAAACATCTCTCATTTCAGGTCAGATTGAGCATTATCTATAGCCTCACCATTCAAAGCGTGGTCTGCAGACCTGTACCATCAGCATCACCTGAGAGCTTGCTAGAAATGCCAACTCTGAGGCCCCACCCTGGCCCCCTGAATCAGAATGTGCATGTTAGCAAGGCCTCAAGGTGATTCCTATGTACAATTGCTGAGTTTAAGAAGCGCTGACCTATTTGAGACCCACTCTTTCTAGGGACTAGAATAAAATTGGAATTCTCTAAAAAATCAAGAATGAGATTCTGAAATTAAAAAATTCATAATTTTTTTCCAATTGCCTTTCAGTTTTTTCAGTTCAGTAAATTAATTATTTGTAATTTATCTTTCCACTGCAGGATGACTTAACAGTGAGATGTGTATTTTGGGACTTGCGCAGAAATGGTAGGTTCCAGTCATAACTTTTTCAGTCTTAAGGGGGCAGGGGCAGAGGGAGGAAGAAAGGGACAAGAGCGATGGGGCGATCATCGATGCCATGGCCTTGCTGAAAGGACAGATACTCTTCCCAATGCCAACAGGTGGCAGAGGAGGCTGGTCGTCCGATGGCTGCTCTGTTAAAGACAGGAAACCGAATGAAACCGTCTGTACCTGCAGCCACCTTACAAGCTTTGGCGTCCTGCTGGTAATAATCCCACATTATCTCGCTTTAGATTCTGGGCCTGAGGGGTAGCTGGGCATCATGCCGTGATGTCTAACGTGATGGATGACTTTGATCAGCAGATATGACATTGTGGCAAAGTTAGAGACTAATGAAATTACCCTTCCGGTAAGCAAATGCACTTGAAAGAAAATTCTTGAACATGGAAGTATTTTCTCCAGCCTATTTTTACACACAAGTTTTCCTGTTTTGAATAGCGAGAACTAGGGGATTCAGGTTAAAATGGGTAAGAAAAATGGTGTGGTTTGCAGTGCACTTTAACATTTTCACCAAACGCCTTGACATAAATTATCTTCTGTACTCTCTCCAACAGGCCTGCAGGATAGGGGGAATGAAGTGTTGTTATTGTCATTGTAAGAAGTTAGAAATAAGACTCATTGGTCCAGCGACTGTCCACAGTCATAGAACTAAGAAATAGAAGAACCTGAAGCCAAATTCAGGTCTTGAAGCTCCTAGCCCAGTGCTTTTCCAGCGCATCATAACACACTGATAAGCGTCTGGGCTTTGGAGCCAGCCAGACCAGAATTTGGATCCTGGTTCCTCCGTTTCATAGTTATGTGACCTTGGGCACATTATTTAACCTCGCTGGGGCTCAGTTTCATTCGTTTTTCCTGGTGATAATAATCGCGTCTACGTTGTAGTTTTGTGGAATGAACTGTGGATGGACACGTAGAATACTCCATAACTGTAAATCCTAGCTCTTTTATTTATTTCAAATATTTGGTCTTGAGAGCAGTATTTTTTTTTCCAGGACCTATCTCGAACATCCTTGCCACCCACTCAGATGATGGCTCTGACGTTTATCACATATATTGGTTGTGGGCTCTCGTCGATTTTTCTGTCAGTTACTCTTGTAACCTACTTAGCCTTTGAGTGAGTATCCGACACTGGGAACTTGGATTCTAAGGCACAGTACTCCCCTCCATTGCCAAAATGTCTTAATTAAGTGCGTTCCTTGGCCTACCTCGTCCTGTATACTGCCTAGAAGTGCCACCCTTATGCAAAACTTAACGGGGCTTTTTGGGTAATGTACTCACTTCCTCCTACCAGTTTTTGCACTTGCTGAAGGCAGGGGGTTGTGTCTTAATCATCTCTGTACCCTAGAATGATGCCTCGTAGCTAGCCGACATTACGTGTGAAATGAAAGATCAATGCAAACCTTAAAACCTAACAGCTTATACTCTGATATAGACCATACTTTTGTGTACAGCCTAAGAGCTATGCTTCACTGATTACATTTCGAAGTTACTCTGAACAAACACAGAAGATGGAAAACATTAGCAGGTGAGAGGATGAAGAATAAAAGGTGTAAAGCCTCATTGAAAAATACAGATATTCCATGAGCGCAGCTTTGTAAGTAGGTCAGAGCAAGAATGACATTCCAAATAATGGCATCTCCTTGGCTTACCCGAAGGGTCCCTTTGGTCACTGTGGGGAGGAGTGGGGCCTCCCAACAAATTCTGTTGGAAACAAAGAAAACAGGCACTTCGATTACATTAACTGAATTAAACGGTATGTACATTCTGGGATTTAGATTTTGGACACTGATCAGGAAATGCACAAATTTACTTTCAGTGCCAAACTTTGGGTCCAGCTGTGACTACAGATCTTCTAGTGGACTTTTGGAAATATGATTAATGAGGCTAAATTACTCCGAATGATTTCACCAGGTCTAATTTCACACACATAGATGTGTACATGTCATCAATTAGCTGTAATTTCCTACGCCCGTTTCATTTAGCTATAGTTCAGACTCTTCTTTCCGTGATCTCATTTTAACTAATAACATGAGATAACTGGGGCACCTGGCTATGTTTTGAAGATCTGAATATAGGAGCCTATCGTATGAGAAGCGACAGCAATGCTTCTAGCAATAGCTTGGGGAAAATGAGGGGGGGGGGCTTAGTAGATTCCCCTACAAACTCTTTGAAAGGATGGGTCAACAGTCAGCATGTAAAAGGTTCCCCAGGAATGTCAATACAAATTTTCCATATTGTTATAACAGGATATTCTGTTTCGATTTGTTGTTGTTGTTGTTATCCTTACAGTTGTTGACTTTAATGCCTGCCCCTCCCACACACACGGAGAAGAAATTTATGCATGTAGACATTGACTGAAGAATAAAAATAAATTTCTTAGATACGCTCACACAAGGGCTGTCAGAATGTGCTGATGATTCCTTCCTTGTCCTTTCCTTCTAGAAAGATTCGGAGGGATTACCCTTCCAAAATCCTCCTCCAGCTGTGTTCAGCCCTGCTCCTGCTGAACCTGGTGTTCCTCCTGGACTCGTGGGTTGCTCTGTATGACGTGCGAGGCCTCTGCATCTCAGTGGCCGTATTTCTGCATTATTTTCTCTTGGTCTCATTCACATGGATGGGCCTGGAAGCATTCCATATGTACCTGGCCCTCGTGAAAGTGTTTAATACTTACATCCGGAAATACATCCTTAAATTCTGCATTGTCGGTTGGGGTATGTATGATTTTGCTTGCACGTTGCCTGGGCTTTCTCTGCTTTCCCTCCAGTATCTTGATTTTTCATTACACAGAAACGGTGATAAAGCAGGTCACACTTGGCAGGTTTCTAACACAGCTTTATTGTCCCTATACGTTGCACTGCCCACAGGGTGACCTTGTCCAGTCTCTTTCTAGAACACCTGTATATTACGCTGGATTGGTTGTGAACATAAACCCCTTTTAGGTTGGGGCTATGAATCCTCTCTGTATCTCCAGTCACTAGAATTAGGGCTGGCACACAGAAGGTGCTCAATAAGTTGAAGAGGTGAGCGGGGTGATAATGAGGCCCAGCTCTCAGTCCCCCACCTCCCAGCCAGCCGCACTCTATTCTGTGTGTCCCAGATGTTACACACATGCATGGCACTATCCTCAGAAGAGCAGAATGAGATGAACGTACAGGTAAAACCCGATGGAATGTCACTGCCACAGTGACACAGTTTTCAGATCATGCCACGTGTTGGTGGTGGTGGGTCACAAAGTCTGAGACACGGCACGTGTCTTGAAGGTCCCTTCACTCAACTCTGCACCAAATGTAGGAGTCTCCTCATCGTGACTTATCCTTGACTAAAGATGATCTAACTTCTGCTTGAATGCTTCTGTTATTAGGGAGCTCATTATTTTTGTTAAAAAACCAAAACTCAACTGACTGTATTTTTTAAAATGTTTTTTTATTACTTATTTTTGAGAGAGAGAGAGAGAGAGATGGAAGGTGAGCAGGGGCGGGGGAGGGGCAGAGAGAAAGGGAGACACAGAACCCAAAGCAGG